AATCAAACAGAAGGGATAGACTCAAGAGACCTTGAAAGGTGGACTCAAAAGGACTTTTTTTAGCTGGCTGAGTACAGAGGCAAAAGAGAAAGGAGTCAAAGTTAACACAAAGTTGCAAACATGGCGTCATATTCGACAGTTAACACTGTCATCTTCTATTGTTATCTGTTTTCTCTGTTCACATCCTCAGAGAGGTGGTAATCAATCCTCTGAGAAGGCAACTGAGTCTTATCCATCTCTTAGATGCCTGACACGGCTTTGATACTGCAGGTACTTAATAAAGGGGCAAAGAACTGAAAGGACCAGAAACCACGGAACAACTGAATGGATAACTCACTCTGTCTTATGAAGTAACAGTGAAGAGTGTTCCTTTTTTGGTGTTCTTTCATTGTGTGACCCTCTCTGGCACCCAAAAGGAAAGAACTGAAGAACATCAATTCTAAACGCCAATGCCCGTTTTCCACAGAAGCCTTGGGAATCAGCTTTCATCAGCAATTGCTGTTGGGCTGGGAGAAGGACACTGTGGGCCCACAGGTTTTGGCAATGAGCTAGGATTAGGGTTTCAAACTATGAGGGAAACAGCAAGAGGCTCTTGGTGTTGGGATAGGATTAACTGAAATGAATGACCTGTACATGACCTATAACTCTGCAAACGAGTTCGATTCTTGTAACTAGGGCCCTGGTCACGAGAGGATGCTGGGATGAGGAGGACAAAGGATTATGCAGGTGGAAAGCCTGCATCTGCACAGAGGGTTTCTCTGGCCAAACTCCCATCAAGGAAGGCCTTTGTCTTCAGATAAGGTCTTGGGTCTTCTTAAAGGCTGTTGCCCTAATACCAACGCCCATTATCTTCACAATGCTTCATCTTATACAGAGGACAATCCAGAGAGCACACACAAGTGACACATTGTACAGGCTGAGTCTTGGGGCTGGTGTCCAATGTTGAACAGGTCCCTGTAGAGATCTAGTGGGATTGGGCACCCACACCGAATGTCTCCCTGATGAATGGGGAGTACACCTATAACAAATGCTTACATCATGAAGTGTCCAAGCTGCTCTGAGTCAAGGAGGAAGACTTCAGAAGTGGACAGTGGTGACAACACCACCCACTTCTTTTTTTTTTTTGGTGAGGGCAATTGGGGTTAAGTGACTTGCCCAAAGTCACACAGCTAGTGAGGGTTATGTGTCGGAGGCTGGGTTTTAACTCAGGTCCTCCTGAATCCAGGGTCGGTGCTCTATTCACTGTGCCACCTAGCTGCCCCCCCACCCACTTCTTTTTTTTTAATTTTTTTAGGCAATTGGGGTTAAGTGACTTGCCCAGGGTCACACAGCTAATGAGTGTCAAGTGTTTGGTCTGAGGCTGGAATTGAACTCAGGTCCTGTTGACTTCAAGGCCAGTGTTCCATCTGCTGCGCCACCTAGCTGCCCCCCCCTTTTTTAAGGCAATTGGGGTTAAGTGACTTGCCCAGAGTCACACAACTTATAAATGTCACCCACTTCTTTACTTACCAAAAGGGAACAAATGTCAGGCAAGAGACCACTGGTATTAAAGGAAGCAGGCAGAATTCTCAATAGGGATAGGACTGGACTGTGATTTCATTAATACAGAAAACTCCCAGGCAGTGAGATGCCCTCTACGAATACATGCCAGAACATTCTTTACAATTTATGGTCTCAGAGAGTTGTCTGTGGCCCTAAGAGTTCGAGGAACTTGCTCTGGATCACACAACAAACATGTGCCAGAAGTGAACCCAGCACCTCCTGGCTTCAAGGCTAGATCTCTACCCGTATACCCTAATGCCTCTCAAAAGCATGGAAAAATAGTTGGATTTAACTGTCTTGATTTCTGTGAAGACAAAGTAGTTGTTCCTAGGACTGCAGGTCTAGAGCTGAAAAGAACCTCAGAGGTCACCTCTTCTAAATTCCTTCATCTTACAGACGAAGAAATTGTGGCTGGTCCAAGGTCACCTAGGCAGTAAGCATCAGAGGCTGAATTTGAACCCAGTTCCTCTAACATACAACAAACTACATCAACAGATGAACGTTTTTTATAATTAAGTTTGGTTGGTTAAAACATTTAGCCAAAGCCAAGTGATTTAATGAAGAAGGAATTTAGCAAGCGAAGAAAAGTGGTGTGCTGGAAAGAGTGTTGGCCTGGAGCCACGGAATCCTATGCTCAGACTGCACCTCTGACACTATCAGGGTGAATCAGTTTCCTCATCTACAAAATGGGACTAATGAAAACTGTGGTATCGATATTATAGAGTCATTGGGAGGCCCAAATGAGATAACAGATGTAAAGCACTTTAAAAACCTTAAAAAAAAATAGAGAAATGTCTATGAGTTGTTGTTAGGACCCTGAAATCCTGAAAGACAGAACTTCCAATTTTCACTGGTGAACAGCTTTGCACACACTGTGAATCAGAGCTAGCTACCAAAGTACGCCCCTTCTGGAGATAACTGTCTTCCCCATGCTTTCCTCCCAAGGCCATCTGGAGACTAAGACAGTGTAGGAAAGCTGTTAGAATACTGTGGTCCAACATCAAAGTAGCATGGTAGCAAACTGGACTTCTGCCACTGATACCAAACAAAAGGTTGCTTTTAACATGAACAGGTGAAAACAGGGACTGCTCCTCTTCTCTCAGGGCTGATGGTTATTAATGGACTCCAGGATTACAAACATAGGAAAAGGTGGGTTGGTAAATGTTTAATAACCAGCTCTCCAGGAAAAAAGTACACAAGACACACTTTTGAGTTTAATCTGCACCATTCACATTTTCTCCATCACTTTCTTAAGTTTAGACAATCAACAAAACAACTAACCGAGTCATGGTTTACAGCATTTGCCAGTTTCCAAGGCGTAAATGTTCACACAGAATATGTGACAAGTCAGTTCTTGTGAGCCAGCATGAGCTAGCCTCAGTACTCCTCTGAACGTAGGTAGGTAGAGATAAGTTTGAGAAAATGTCTCAGATTTGTAGGTAATGAAAGCAAGGATTCCAATACGAGAGGGATTTAGTTTCCCGATTTGTTCACAGGGACTCCTTTTTCTTACCCTAGAGGTACTCTATTCCTTTGGATCAAATGACTGAACAGACTGCTAACGTCTGACAATTAAATGAGGAGTCTCAGTGAGACCACAAAGATGGCGCTACCCACCCTCCACCACCTCCCTGTGGCTTCTCTGCATATTACCAGTTTAGGCTCAGGAACCGGCAGCTATTCCCAGCTCGGGGTTATTAACATTAGCTCTGTGTGAAAGGCTGAAATGTGAATTTATTACTTATTAAGTAAACTTATTAAGTAAAATACTTGAGCTGCTTCCAGCGAAATAAAAAAAGGATCACATTTTCTTGGCATGACTGTAGAGTTCCATACACTGTTTACATAGTACAGAGCAGAGCCAATCAAAGGGAAAGCATCTGTCATCAAAACAGTGGCATGGACCCCCCACTTGAAGAACCCCAGAAATAGTGGAAATATTCCAGAAAATTCAATGTGAATTCCTAATTGACTTCAGAAGATCACAATCACTATAATGCTCTGGAACTTTGTGAGTACCCTAAAGCAAATCCATAGCCCCAAAATATACAATGTTCCAGGGCCCCTGCATTTCATGGGCTTTAATTATTCTAGAGCTTACCTCTTGAACTGCTGACCTGACCTTCTAGCTCAGATCACTGCATCTAAATAGTTCCTGAACTCAGGTGCAATAGACATGGCCTAGAGTTGATGTTGTATACTCCAGTAGGACAAATGGAAACCTAGGAAATGCTTCTAACTTTGTCTAGTCAACCCAATGTATAGGTAGTCCAAGTTCTGTTTGTATAGCTTATCACAACTCCAAAAGTTCCTCATTTTTCATTTGAACAATTTTATCACCAAAGTAACAAAGAAAAATCACTTGTTCCCATATTTCCATATACAGAAACTCTCCACTTGTACAACTAACCAGATTAACATTGACTTGGTCATAAATCTATCTCTAGCCAGAGTATTCACTTGTCGCATAACAGCGACCATTCAGGAAGGCAAAATAAACAGTCCGTCTTGCAAAAATAGGCATAAAAAAAGCCATTTCCACCCCCATTTCCTCTGCCACTTGCTGCGTGTCTACCCATAAGGTTATGGTTTTCTACAAATGTTTTGCTAGTGAACAAAAAGAATCACACAGAACAGTCACTGTCAGGGCTTCAAACATATACCAAGCTAAGAGGCATTTGATCTTCTAGAGAAGACCTTCTTAAGCAGGAGTCAGCAAACAGGTGGGTTTTTTTTAATTGTAATAACTGCACTTCTTTTGTAATCCTTTGTATTTTATGTATTTAAAAGCATGATTCTGAGACAGGGTCTCTAGACTTCTTAGCTCCAGACTGCTGCCCAAGGGGTCCCTGATCCAAACAACGTGAAGGACCCCTGCTCTAGAGCCACAGTCAAGCCAATGACAAAGGGGAGAAATGCTTTACTTGGTACAAAAAAGGCTGACAAAAGAGAAACTACTGAGAAGGGTGCCTCAGCATCCTTCTCTTAGCATCAATGTGCATTCTTTTGGAATAGTTTTTAGAACTTTTAGAATTCTTTTAGAAAGAATCTGCCTCTCAAATAAAATCCAGTTTCTGCTTTATCAACATAATCAAGTCCAATGTCTCCACTGTGAAATTGATTCACAGGTCAAGATCATACCTGACCTGGCTGGAGATTACATCTATAGCAATTGGCACATCTCCACTGAGGTACAAAAATACCTTCTGAACAGATAATGCTAGGAGACATCAGTGGTGTTCAGCACAAGGTATTTAGTGAGTAACACTTAATGCATATGACCCTCTACTGATGCAAGAAAGTTTCTGATAGCAAGCAGATGATCACCAGACTTGCTCAATAGCATCTTCTCTAACACAATGTGATGACTCTTGACCTTTTCTACATAGCTGAATATCACTGCAGACAGACTTCAAACACAGCGGTCCTTAACACAAGAAGCTTGGTTTTCTTCTTACCTCAGCAGCTTGAGTCTCTTGGTGTAACAAAGTAAGTCCGGTCAAGTCTTCTAAGAAGGAATGTGAAGAATTAAACACTTTTGCCAGGAAATTAAATCCTTCTTTCTCATATTGATCAAGGACCTGTAAAACAGTGTTTTTTTAGAAAAAAGGTTTATAAAACATATTATGGACTTAGTCTGGAACAAACACCTGCCCAAAACGCTGTAACTGTAGAAATGAGACAAAACTAGACTTGAATCTGGTAAAAAGAGTATGGTAGACCCTGGGGTCTGCTTCATTTTTTAAAGGGAAGAAAATTAATTTGGGGAGAATTGCTATTTCCCATTTCTATCTCGTAAGAAAAGATTTCCAACCACACCTGTCAGGTGTGCAAAGTCTCCTCTCCCCTGAATTGTTTCACAAAAATTCACCAGGGGCCATGACATACATCTTTATCCTCATATCAATATTTGTCCTCACTAGAAGCTAATAGCATAGCACCTTGCAGTCAGTCAACAAGCATCGATTAAGTACCTACTGAGCTAGACACTGTGCTAAGCACTGGTAACAGAAAGAAAGGCAAAAACATTACCTGCCTCCAAGGATCTTAAATATAAAAGGTACTTAATAAATACTTAATGAATGAAGAAATCAATGTTTCAAGTAGTTCTGATGTAAATCTAAGTTTTCATTTGTATCAAATAGCGTATTAAGTGCTAGCTAAATCTCTACTTCTTTTGAAATCTCTGTGCTTTTAAGACAGGGGTGGGGAACCTTCGGCCTCAAGGTCCTCAGGTTTGGCTTGACTCTGGTCAAAGGGGGGTGCATGAGGCCCCCCTTTAGATTTCTAAATATTACAACTTAACAAGCTCTAAGCTGGAGGCCACAGGTTCCCCATTCCTGTTTTAAGAAATCAAACACAACTTAAATTACTGGAGAGATATCTGGTGCTCATGGATGTCCTGTGCCAATATAATAAAAAAAAAGATAATACTACTTAATTAGTGGATTTAATTTAGCCAATCAAATTACCAAGGTACTTTACAGAACTAGATAAAATAATAAAAAAATTCATTTCAAGTAATAAATATCTAGACTCTCAAAGGAAATTTTTTTTTGGGGGGGGCTAGGCAATGGGGTTAAGTGACTTGCCCAGGGTCACCCAGCTAGTTAAGTGTCAAGTGTCTAAGGCTGGATTTGAACTCGGGTCCTCCTGACTCCAGGGCCAGTGTTCTATCCACTGCACCACCTAGCTGCTCCTTCAAAGGATATTTTTAAAACAGGAATGAAGTGGAAATAGTACTTCCAAATTATACTTAAATTATACTATTAAGCAACTGTCATCAAAACTATTCAGTGCTGGTTAAAAAACAGAAAAGTTAATCACTTGAACAGACTAGATACAGAAAAATCACAAATAACTGAACTCAATAATCTAGTATTTGATAAAAGTGAGACTGTAAGTTATTTGGGGAAGAACCCTCTATTTGACAAGAAATTGCTGGGGAAAATAAAAAGAAATTTGCCAGAAATTAGGTTTAGACCAACATCTTTTACCATATACCATAATAAGCTTAAAGATATGACCTAAATATTAAAGTTATGCCCAAAAAAAGTCATAATGGAAGAGAACCATGAAGAAATAGAGAACCTATCGCAGAACAGGCTGGCTGAGGGCAGAGAATTAGGTCTGAAAGGGGAATTTACTTTAAGCTGCAGAAGCAGAGGAATGCCTAGCAGTGACTGGCCCAGTATTCATCTTCCCTGTACCTTCTCCTCCTACTGAGTCCACTGCTGACTTTGAAACATCTTCTTCTATTGAATGCAAGACCTTTCAACAAATTTTATGAATACACTAAGGGTGTATGATATCAACAGTTGACCTCTAGATGTTCAAGTCTTAGGAAGCAGCTTGAGGCGCTTAGAAATGAAGTGGCTTGAAAGAGCCAATAAGGACCATGCCAAATCTAGCACACTGTCCAGTTCTCTGAGTTCTCCCTACAAAACATAACTCACATTCAAATTTTAAAACAAACAACATTTATTAAGCACCTGCTGCATTCAAGGCATTGAACTAGGAGCCAAGAATACAAAGACAAAAAAAAGTCTTGCCTTCAAGGCCTTGAGTCCTTACTGGAAGGATACAAGAAGTATACAGATAGGTAAACACAAAGTATATGAAGCAATAATAAAGCAATTCTGATAGGGTGAAAGTATTAGAACCAACGGCCACACAGAAAGGCCTCAGATAAGAGGTGAAATCAGCTACATTCTTTAAAGAAGCAGGGAATAAATCAGCTTTTCAGGAAGCTAGGAATGAGTTGACTTCGCAGGTAAGCTGGGGTTAGGGTGAGAATCTGAAGCTTAAAATGTAGAGTCAGGTCTGAATTTGGGAGGAGGGAACAGAATTGCCTAATTTTCATTTGTCCCTACGTTCCAAAGCCCTCAGAGAAAAGATCTGGATAAGAATGTTCTTCCAGGCCAATTCAAGTGCTTCTTGAGCACCTATTCCAGTGGCCTTGATTTCTTCTGTGACGTTTGGATTCAGTCAAGGGGCTGCACTTGAGGACTAGAGGGACACAGGTTCCCCACCCCTGACCTAGTCTATATTGATCAGATACTGATCTTTTGGAGGAGGAAATTCCCTGTACTTCATGTGCTCTAACATTCATACTGCTACACCAAAAGCCCACCTTTGAGGCTTTATAAACATTCCCACTAATCAGATTGTGCATTACTCAAGGCCCTTTGTCCTTTTCCCTTTAAGCCTTCTAAATGTTGGCTATTAGCCACAGTGACTCAGTTCGAGAAATAAGGTGATGGCTGAAAAAACAAGGGGCATAAAAAACAAGAGTTCCCAGTGCAGAATTATTGTTCCTAGACTCAGGAAAAAAAAATACAAAATAAGTTCTCTTTTTCTAGCTGAGCAGTATTGTGAGGTTAGGAGTAAGGAATCTTTAATCCTCAATAAGCCATGGAGCCAAAATGTTCTCTGCCTAGCACAATGAGCCCCTGCATGCCAAAGTTTCCAATTAACAGTGAGAAAGGAAAAGTGGAAGAAAAATCCAAAAAAATTAAGCAATTCCAGAGGTGAAGCTTTTGGGATCTTGACTGAACTTTTGGCTTTTCAATGCAGTGCTAGAAAGAACCTCTCAGTAATAGAAATCAGATGCAGGAAAAGCTAAATCTACAAAAGAGGGAAGCACATGATTTATCCATAATCAGGACATATAGAAAGTCAAGTGCTGAAACATCAACAGTACTACCTAAGTTCTGAGCCCCCTAAAAATTTTATTTTGGAAAAAAAATAATCTTCTAAAGATATTTTTCATCATGCATTTTCTGGTATTCTCTTTCTATGCTGTGAAGCTAATCTATTTAACAAGACATAAGCAGCTTATAAATGTACAAATTATTTCTTTCACAGTAATTCAACATTCCTAAATAGAAGAAAGGAAACAAAATCCATCCAAAAAGTTCTCTCTCCAAATGAATGGCATGTGTACAGATAAAATTTTATGAACTCTTCTGAAGTCATACTTCACATAAAAAATGTCTTTCATTTCACACAACAGATATAATCCTGAAAAACATGTCCAAAATTTTGATGAATCAAATCACATTTTACATTCATTTACAGAGGCTAGCTTCCTATGTAGAGTAATATTTCAAGGACTCCCTCGGTAACATGAATAATTGTTCCCTTTCATAACATAAACAATGATTCCTAAGCTTTATTCAATTTGTAAGGCTGGCTTTTTTTTAAACAGGGCACAGCTGTATACATATCTTGGATAATGCTATGTCTTATTCAAATATTAGGCCTTTAACCCTAACAGGTGCTCAATACATGTTTGTTGGCCTGAATCTGTCATGTCTTCCCTTCTCAAGAACCTTCAGTGATTCCCCAGTATCTATTAGGTTAAGCCTCTATTTCTCAAACTGCCATTCACTATCCTCCATTAACAGGTTATTATCCAACCACAGCTTTTACTGCCTCTGTACTGGAGCCAAACCAGTCTTTTTTACCATTTTAAAAACAATTCCCACCCCTTAGTCTCTCTTTATGCTATTACTTTACCTAAAATGGAGTCTCCAATTCTCACTTGTCAATACAAATCACATACTTCTTTCAAAGGTCAACTCAAGTATGAATGTGGCATATTAGAAAACTACAACAGAAGCCTGGAAAGTGGGGCTCTGGACTCTGCCACTACTAAAACTAAAATAAACATATGTATTAACATGCTTACACAAATTAAGAGTAAACTATTCTAGATAAGTAACATTTCATTTTGTTTACATTTCCATAAATTTATAGTTAAAAAATCAGTTTCACAAAAATTAAAGTTTATCCTCACAACATTCTCTGTAATTAACTCCCATTGAGTCAATATTTCCCCATTCCATGAACCTCCAGCTGCCATTATTCAACCCCATTCATTATGGTCTGTCTCCCCACTCCCTGCTCCTAATTTTCAAAACAAAGGGTTTGAGCTTCACCTCCTTTGATCTTCTCTTAATCCATATCTAGCACCCAATCAAAATTCAGGTAGTGGTTGTTCACCCACCTCCAGGACACACCATATCTTTCCTCAATGAGTTCTGTGCCTAGCTTATACTCTTTCTACCCTTTCCTACTCCTGTCCTTTTACTAGGGGACCTCAAACATCGTAACCTCCCACTTCCTCAACTTCCTAACTTCCCATGACCTCCTTACCCTTGATCTTGCCATCACCTCCAAATGCACCACTTCCACATTCATGAACTCTGATATTGTCTTCTTTGATCACAGGCTTTTGTCATTCTACCTCTCCCTCTCCCTTGCAACCAAACTCTCTGTTCACTGTGACCTCCAATCCCTCCATCCCCCAGTTTCTTCTTGGCAATCATTCCTACACAGGCTACACTTTCCGCCTTTTCTCATTTTGATTCCCTGGTGAATTAGTTCAATTCTATACTGTCCCTTGCTCCCTTATCCTATTAACAATCTTGTCCTGCCAAGCCTTGGTCTTGGAATACTCTTGACCATGTTCTGCCTTTGTTCCTATTCACACACAACTGACTGAAGCTGGAGAAATCATGAAACTATGCTGACCGGAGCCACAAAAAATTTACATTACATAACCTCAACTAGGCCC